ATGTAATGTGTTTCTTATATAATTTTGAAGAAAATTTGGTAGATATTGCAAGCGTATGGAATAGGAGGTAGGTTACTGTAAGCAGTGAAGAGTTTTTACAAGGATAGTGAGGCTCAGGTTAGATTATGTAAGAGAGAGGGAGATTATTTCCCAGTAAAAATAGGCCTTAGACAGGGATGTGTGATGTCACCATGGTTATTCAATATATTTATGGATGGAGTTGTAAGAGAAGTGAATGCTCAGGTGTTGGCAAGAGGTGTGGGGTTAAAAGAATCTAACACAAAGTGGGAGTTGTCACAGTTGCTCTTTGCTGATGACACTGTGCTTTTGGGAGATTCTGAAGAGAAGCTGCAGAGGTTGGTGGATGAGTTTGGTTGGATATGTAAAAGAAGAAAATTGAAAGTGAATATAGGAAAGAGTAAGGTGATGAAAGATTAGATATCAGATTGGAGTGAGAGAGTATGGAGGATGTGAATGTATTTAGATATTTAGGAGTGGACGTGTCAGCAGGTGGGTCTATGAAGGATGAAGTGAATCATAGAATTGATTTAGGGGAAAAGGGGTGAGTGGTGCACTTAGGAGTCTGTGGAGACAAAGAACTTTGTCCATGGAAGCAAAGAGGGGAATGTATGAGAGTATAGTTATACCACCACTCTTATATGGGTGTGAAGCATGGGTGGTGAATGTTGCAATGAGGAGAAGGCTGGAGGCAGTGGAGATGTCATGTTTGAGGGCAGTGTGTGGTGTGAATATAATGCAGAGAATTTGTAGATTGGAAATTAGGAGGTGTAGGATTACTAAAACCATTATCCAGAGGGCTGAGGAGGGGTTGCTGAGGTGGTTCGGACATGTAGAGAGAATGGAACGAAACAGAATAACTTTGAGAGTGTATAAATCTGTAGTGGAGGGAAGGCAGGGTAAGGGGTCGGCCGAGGAAATTTTGGAGGGAGGGGGTAAAGGAGGTTTAGTGTGTGAGGGGATTGGACTTCCAGCAAGCATGCATGAGTGTATTTGATAGGAGTGAATGGAGACAAATTGTTTTTAATACTTGACATGCTGTTGGAGTGTGAACAAAGTAACATTTATGAAGGAATTCAGGGAAACCGGCAGGCCAGACTTGAGTCCTGGAGATGGGAAGTACAGTGTCTGCACTCTGAAGGATGGGTGTTACTATTGCAGTTTTCTTTTTCGGGCCACCCTGCCTTGGTGGGAATCGGCCGATGTGTTAATAAAAGAAAAAAATGTATACTAAATATGTATAATCATATACATATTAAATATGTATATGATTTGTTAGAAAATATTACACTTACATTTTGCGCATGCCATTAATTAATTATAATTTCTAGGTTCCTGGTTCACGAACACCTGGTCATCAAGAAAATAATAATTTTTGCTCCATCAATATCAATATTGGACCAGGAGATTGTGAATGGTTTGGTGTTCCTGATGCTTACTGGGGAGTCATCGCAAACCTATGCGAGAAGTAAGTTACGTACTAGAAATTTTTTCATCAGCAGTAGTACAATGTGGGATTCTTCTTGAAAATACTCTGAAGTATTTTCAAAATTGTCTTGAAAAATAAAAAACTTTATAACTTAGCCTGTATGATCTTTGCCCAATATGGATAGTGGCTTTCCACATGCCAGACTAGTGAATAACTTGGTAATTTTGTATTATTTTTTTCTTTATGTAGAAACAGAACAAACTATCTTCACGGTTCATGGTGGCCAGATTTACAAGAGTTATATGATGAAAATGTACCAGTGTATCGTTTTCACCAAAAACCAGGAGACATGGTTTGGGTTAATTCAGGTGAGGGAAAGTGTTTACTAGTTCACATTTTTGTAAATGGTTTTCAGACACTTATTTTATTGCCAGTACTATATGCCCAACTTTTATTGACCAGTCTTGAAGTTTTTTAGTTTATTATTTAGATTTTTTTTTGCCTAGTACTGTATAATAAATGGCATACATAGTGTTTTTTGCTTATTATTGTAAATGGTTTACATTTTTTTTTTGCTTAGTATGTATATTTCAAATGGTACACCTAGGATTTTTGTCATGTATTTTAAATTGTATACATAGGGTTTTTGCTTTGTATTTTAAATCTCACACATAGGGGTGTGCCTAGTACAGTGGAACCTTGGTTGTTGAACAGAGTAGTTGTCGAACAAATCAGTTTTAGAACCGTTTTGTTCAGTTTGGGTTTCGTATGTGGTCTTAGTTGTTGATCAACAATTCTTGGATAACGTGATCACTGGACAGAGTCCACAGCGGGGGACTCAGTAAGTATAGTGACTAATGTGATTTTGCCCACTTTGAGCCCTATTTTGGGCCAATTCCATTGTTCCAGTTGACCAAACTCACAGCTATTTCGCTGGAACTCCTTTTATTCTATCGATTTAGTACAAGAAACTGCCCATTTACCTATTTCAAATACCCAGTAAAGTGATCTGAAATTACTAATTTGACCAATTTCATACAAAACTCAAGAAAGGCCAATTTCAAAATAGGGTCCAGCATAAACAATGCAGAGCTTCCTGGCACTAAAATAACCTTTTATCTATTCATTAGTCACGTCTCCAGACCCCTCCTATATTACTATTGCTTTTCATTTTTAATTTTTATTCACACAAAAAATTATTGCATAATTGCAATAATTGTATAAATAATATCAGCACATTCGTGACTGCATATGAGACTCACCAGTTGACGTGTATTGGACATGTGATGTGATTTGTTTACTCTTGAACATTGGCAAAAATCGGACATTTCTGCTACTTTGAGCTCAATTTCAAGCTACTTTTAGTCTTAACCCTTAAACTGTCCAAGCAGATCTACGTTCACATGTGTAGTGCTCCAAAAGTAGATCTATATTTTTTTTACATATTTTCAAATATAACAAAAAAAAAGTAGATCAAAGTTTTTTACACATTTTCAAATGTAAAAAAAAAAATCTACCTTTTTTACATACTTTCAAATGCTAAAAAAACGTAGATCTACGTTTGGACAGTTTAAGGGTTAAACCACTGAAAATCATCTCTATTTCTGTAATATATCTTTCATTCTATCAAATGAGACCAAGAAAACGAGAATACAACCATAAATACCATACGAAAATACGCTGCAAGCTCGCTGTTTTAAACCTAAAACAGTCAGTTTTTTTGTCATTATGCACTGCGTGCTGCAGGATTTTTTTTATACTGCGCACACTGACCATGCAGACCATGTAGACCTACCAGCTTTCTCCTGCAAGATTTGAAGCTGCTAGAATTTTGCCATTAGCTCTCCTCTGACAGGTAAGAGGCAGTTAAATTTTCATTTACTGTACAGTATTTTACCCGTAAACGGTCCAAACGTATATATACGTTTTTTCAACATTTGAAAGTATGTAAAAAAAGTAGATCTTTTTTTTTTTTGTACATCTGAAAACGTGTAAAAAACTTTGATCTACTTTTCTTTTTTGTTATATTTGAAAATATGTAAAAAAAATGTAGATCTACTTTTGGAGCACTAAGCATGTGAATGTAGATCTGCTTGGACAGTTTAAGGCTTAAGTTAAATTTTCATTTAGTATTCATTTTTACAGTTTCTGTGTGCTGTATAGTTTTAAACATTGTTTTATGTAGTAGTTAGTACATAATAAATTGTCATTTTGGGTCTAGAATGGATTAATTCTATTTACATTATTCTTTGTGGGAAAAACTGGTTTGGTTGTCGAACCGACATCTGGAATGAATTAAGTTTGACAACCAAGGTTCCACTGTGTTTTAGATTGTAAACAAAATTTTTTTTTCATTACTTTTTTTTATATTCAAGTTCCCAAGCTAAAAGTTATCCTACCTCAGCTCATTTCAAAGCCTAGCCATATTTAAGGTATACTAGCACCCCTGAGATGTCACCTACAACAATTGACTAACGCCCAGGTACTTACTGCTAAGTGAACAGGTTTAAGGAAACATGTTCAACATTTCCACCCATGCAGGGATTCGAACCATGGACCCTTTGTGTGTGAGCTGAGAGTGCTGCTAACTGAACTAAGGGACGCCTCAATCTTGGCAATATTTGAAGAGGAGGAAATTTTCTCTTATTAGCTCAAAAGTAACTTACAGTATTGGTCAGAAACCTGTATGTACTTAAGTTTTGCTCATGCAGTTCATACTGCTCTTTTGTAGGTTGTGTTCACTGGGTCCAAGCTGTAGGTTGGTGTAATAACATTGCCTGGAACGTGGGTCCTCTTACTGCACGTCAGTATATCCTGGCTTTGGAGAGATATGAGTGGAATAAATTACAGAGCTTCAAGTCCATTGTTCCTCTGGTTCATCTGTCATGGAATTTGGCCAGAAATATAAAAGTATCTGACCCTAAGCTCTTTGAGGCAATCAAGTAAGTTGACTCTTGATTTTAGTTTTTGATGAATATACTATTGTAATTATAGTTTTTGTTATTTTTGTCTTGTGTATTTTTCAGCTAAGCAGTAATACTAAACAGTACTGTATATCCAGATCCCTGCATGGATACAGGAGCTCATCAGTATTAGCATGATATTTGTATATGTATAATGTAAAGAAGATGGTAGAAGGGATAAGTCTCGAGTTCTGGAGAGTTTTTGATAAATGTTCATGCCAAAAGAAATTTAGTGATACTAAGTATGGCCTCAGTCACAACATGAGATTACAAGCTGACCAGTAAGTGGTAATTGAGTTTCCTTTGTTGATAAGTGCAAAGCAATGCATATCAGAAATTAGAAAAAGATAATTTTTTCAGCATTTATAAATCAGTGTATATTTAATAATTGTTTAACATTTAATATATGATACAAAATGTGTCATATATTACATATATACCAGGAGATTTATTATTATTTTTTTATTATTAACCCTTTGACTGTTGCAACCCCAAATCCTGAAGTGTTTCCTGGTGTCGAAAAAATTTTGGGATTTTTTTTTTTTTTTTTTTATGAAATGATAATGTTTTCCCAATGGTAATGACACCAAAAGTAGGACATTTGATCAAAAACTTATGGAATTATGCTCCCGCTAAGTTAGCGATCTCGGCGATATATACACATCGGCGATTTTGCCGGCTTTGAGCCCTATTATTGGCCAATTCCATTGTTCCAGTTGACCAAACTCATAGCTATTTATTTAGAACTCAATTTTTTATATCAATTGAGTACAAGAAACTGCCCATTTACTGATTTCAACTACCCAAATTGGCAGTTTGGCCAATTTCACACAAATAAAAAAAGATGCCAGTTTCAAAATAGGGTCCAGAATAAACACTGCAGACATTCTTAGGACTAAAATAACATCCTCTGTTCATTAGTTATGTCTCCAGGCCCCTTTTATAATATCAGTGCACTAGTGAAAGAATATTAGACTCCCCAGTTGACATGTATTGGATGTGTGATGTGATTTGCTTACTCTTGAACATTAGTAAAAATCGAACATTTCCGCTACTTTGAGCTCAATTTCAAGGTCGTTTTTTTCATGAAACTAATCAAAATCATCTCTATTTCTGTAATATGTTTCCCATTCTATCAAATGAGACCAAGAAAACGAGAATACAACCATAAATACTATAGGAAAATACACCTCAAATTCGGCGTTTTAATCCAAAAATATGGTCGGAGTTTTTTTTCTCTCATGCACTGCGTGCTGCAGGATTTTTTTTATACAGTGCACACTGACCACACAGACCCATTCTCTCACATGTGGGCCTACCAGCTTTCTCCTGCTTAATTTGATTCCGCTAGAATTATTGAGTATACAGTGGACCCCCGCTTAACGATCACCTCCAAATGCGACCAATTATGTAAGTGTATTTATGTAAGTGCGTTTGTACGTGTATGTTTGGGGGTCTGAAATGGACTAATCTACTTCACAATATTCCTTATGGGAAAAAATTCGGTCAGTACTGGCACCTGAACATACTACTGGAATGAAAAAAGTTCGTTAACCGGGGGTCCACTGTATATGCGTCCGAAACACTGGCTCGTAAAATGTATATATACAGCTGAAACAGTCAAAGGGTTAACACATCAGCCATTTCCCACCAAGGCAGGGTGGCCTGAAAGAGAAAAACTTTCACCATTCACGCCATCACTGTCTTGCCAGAGGCATGCTTACACTACAGTTATAAAACTGCAACATTAACACCCCTCCTTCAGAGTGCCGGCTCTTTAGTTCCCATCTCCAGGTATCAAGTCCGGCCTGCCAGTTTCCCTGAATCCCTTCGTAAATGTTACCTTGCTTACACTCCAACAACACGTCAAGTTTTAAAAAAACAATTTGTCTCCATTTGCTCCTATCTAACACGCTCATGCATGCTTTCTGGAAGTCCAAGCCCCTCACGCACAAAACCTTTACCCCCTCCCTCCAACCTTTCCTAGGCCACCCCCTACCCCACCTTCCTCCACTACAGATTTATACACTCTTGAAGTCATTCTATTTAGTTCCATCCTCTCTACATGTCCAAATCATCTTAACAACCCCTCCTGGATAATAGTTTTGGTAATCCCACACCTGTATAATAGTTTTGGTAATCCCGCACCTCCTAATTTCCAAACTACGAATTCTCTGCATTATATTCACACCACACATTGCTCTCAGACACAACATCTCCACTGCCTTCTCCTTGTTCCAACATTCATCACCCATGCTTCTCACCCATATCAGAGCATATTGGTATAACTGTACTCTCATACATTCCCCTCTTTGTTTTCATGGATAAAGTTCTTTGTCTCCACAGACTCCTCATTGCACCACTCACCTTCCCCCCCCCCTCATCAGTTCTGTGATTCACTTCATCTTTCATAGACCCATCTGCTGACATGTCCACTCCTAAATATCTGAATACATTCACCTCCTCTATACTCTCTCCCTCCAATCTGATATCCAATCTTCTGTTACCTAATTTTTTTGTTATCTTCATCACCTTACTCTTTCCTATATTCACTATTAATTTCCTTCATTTACATACCCTATCAAACTCATCAGCCAGCCTCTGCAACTTCTCTTCAGAATCTCCCAAAAGCAGTGTCGTCAGCAAAGAGCAACTGTGACAACTCCCACTTTGTTTTAGTCTTTATCTTTTAACCCGACGCCTCTTGCCAACACCTGAGCATTCACTTCTCTTACACTATAAATATATTGAACAACCATGGTGACATCATACATCCCTGTCTAAGGCCTACTTTTACTGGGAAATAATCTCCTTCTTGCCTGCATACTCTAACCTGAGTGGGGGAGGTGTGTGGGGCAGTGAGTAGAATGAAAGGGGATTGATGGGATAAAGATAGAAATGTTAAAAGCAGGTTGGGATATAGTTTTGGAGTAGTCAGTGTTTTTATTTAGTAAATGTATGGAAAAGGGTAAGGTACCTAGGGTTGTAGATGAATGGTTCAGAGAACCGACATGTTGATAAATTAGACACATGTGCAACTCTTGGGTATCTTTATTGAGGAAACGTTTTGCCACACAGTGGCTTCATCAGTCCATACAAAGGAGAATCTTGAAGAACAGGGGGAGAATGAGGTAATCAGTCCCTCAACCTTGAGTCGATGTGGTCAGTCCATCAATCTTGATGGACTGACCACATCGACTCAAGGTTGAGGGACTGATTACCTCATTCTCCCCCTGTTCTTCAAGATTCTCCTTTGTATGGACTGATGAAGCCACTGTGTGGCAAAACGTTTCCTCAATAAAGATACCCAAGAGTTGCACATGTGTCTAATTTATCAAGGTACCTAGGGATTGGCAGAGAGCATGCATAGTTCCTTTGTATAAAGGCAAAGGGGACAAAAGAGAGTGTAAAAATTATAGGGGAATAAGTTTGTTGAATATACCTGGTAAAGTGTATGGTAGTTATTGTTGAAAGAATTAAGAGTAAGATGGAGAGCAGGATGGCAGATGAACAAGGAGGCTTTAGGAAGGGTAGAGGGTGTGCAGACCAAGTGTTTGCAGTGAAACATATAGGTATTTAGATACAGGTAAAGAAGTATTTGTGGCATTTACGGATTTGGAAAAGGCATATGATAGGGTGGAGAGGGGGGCAATGTGGCAGATGTTGCAAATGTATGGAATAGGAGGTAGGTTACTGAAAGCGATGAAAAGCTTTTACGAGGATAGTGAGACTCAGGTTAGAGTATGTAGGCGAGAGGGAGATTATTTCCCAGTAAAAGTAGGCCTTAGACAGGGATGTGTGATGTCACCATGGTTGTTCAATATATTTATAGATGGAGTTGTAAGAGAAGTGAATGCTTGGGTGTTGGCAAGAGGTGTGGGGTTAAAAGATAAAGAATCTAACACAAAGTGGGAGTTGTCACAGTTGCTCTTTGCTGACGACACTGCTTTTGGGAGATTCTGAAGAGAATTTGATAGGGTATGTAAATGAAGGAAATTAATAGTGAATATAGGAAAGAGGAAGGTGATGAGGATAACAAAAAAATTATGTAATGGAAGATTGGATATCAAATTGGAGGGAGAGAGTATGGAGGAGGTGAATGTGTTCAGATATTTGGAGTGGACGTGTCAGCAGATGGGTCTATGAAGGGTGAGGTGAATCACAGAAGTGACGAGGGGAAAATGATGAGTGGTGCACTGAGGAGTTTGTGGAAACAAAGAACTTTATCCATGAAAGCAAAGAGGGGAATGTATGAGAGTATAGTTATACCAACACTCTTTCTTGTATGGGTGTGAGGCATGGGTTGTGAATGTTGCAACAAGGAGAAGGCTGGAGGCAGTGGAGATGTCATGTCTGAGGGCAATGTGTGGTGTGAATATAATGCAGAGAACCCGTAGTTTGGAGATTAGGAGGTGTGGGATTACCAAAACTATTATCCAGAGGGCTGAGGAGGGGTCATTGAGATGGTTTGGACATGTAGAGAGGATGGAACAAAACGGAATGACTTCGAGAGTGTAAAATCTGTAGTGGAGGGAAGGCGGGGTAGGAGTCAGCTTAGGAAAGGCTGGAGGGAGGGGGGGTAAAGATGGTTTTGTGTGCGAGGTGCTTGGACTTCCAGCAAGTATTCATAAGAGTGTTAGATAGGAGCGAATGGAGACATGCTGTTAGTGTCTAAGCAAGGTAACATTTATGAAGGGATTTGGGGAATCCGGCAGGCCGGACTTGATTCCTGAAGATGGGAAGTACAGTGCCGGCAATCTGAAGGAGGGGTGTTAATGTTGCAGTTTTATAACTGTAGTGTAAGCATGCCTCTGGCAACACAGTGATGGGGTGAACAATGATGAAAGTTTTTCTTTTTCGGGCCACCCTGCCTTGGTGGGAAATGACCGATGTGTTAATAAAAAAAAAAATACTGTTCACCTATGTTTTTTAATGCAAACACTTGGAGGTGAATGTATTCAGATATTTGGGAGTGGACGTGTCAGCGGATGGGTCTATGAAAGATGAGGTGAATCATAGAATTGATGAGGGGAAAAGGGTGAGTGGTGCACTTAGGAGTCTGTGGAGACAAAGAACTTTGTCCTTGGAGGCAAAGAGGGGAATGTATGAGAGTATAGTTTTACCAACGCTCTTATATGGGTGTGAAGCATGGGTGATGAATGTTGCAGCGAGGAGAAGGCTGGAGGCAGTGGAGATGTCATGTCTGAGAGCAATGTGTGGTGTGAATATAATGCAGAGAATTCGTAGTTTGGAAGTTAGGAGGAGGTGCGGGATTACCAAAACTGTTGTCCAGAGGGCTGAGGAAGGGTTGTTGAGGTGGTTCCGACATGTGGAGAGAATGGAGCGAAACAGAATAACTTCAAGAGTGTATCAGTCTGTAGTGGAAGGAAGGCGGGGTAGGGGTCGGCCTAGGAAAGGTTGGAGGGAGGGGGTAAAGGAGGTTTTGTGTGCGAGGGGCTTGGACTTCCAGCAGGCATGCGTGAGCGTGTTTGATAGGAGTGAATGGAGACAAATGGTTTTTAATACTTGATGTGCTGTTGGAGTGTGAGCAAAGTAACATTTATGAAGGGGTTCAGGGAAACCGGCAGGCCGGACTTGAGTCCTGGAGATGGGAGTACAGTGCCTGCACTCTGAAGGAGGGGTGTTAATGTTGCAGTTTAAAAACTGTAGTGAAAAGCACCCTTCTGGCAAGACAGTGATGGAGTGAATGATGGTGAAAGTTTTTCTTTTTTGGGCCACCCTGCCTTGGTGGGAATCGGCCAGTGTGATAATAAAAAAAAAATAAAAACTTGGTCTACACATCCCCTACCCTTCTAAAGCCTCCTTGTTCATCTGCTATCCTATTCTCTGTCTTACTGTTAATTGCTTCAACAATAATAATATTGATGATAATACAGCAGATCAGCAATTATCCAGTAAATGGGTTATTCCATGTTTAAAATTATCTGTAAACCTTGTTTGATCCTGCTCCTGACACATTGTATCTGATATAAAACATGGGCAGCAGAAGCAGGATCGCTTCTCTTTCTCAAAGTATCGTGTACAGCATAGCATGAGCAGCAGGAAGAGAGCTGCTTTTTCCTCTCCTAATCCCTAATTCTTTTACTTTCTTTTACCCATTGTATCTGACACAACACAGCCTATGCACTAACAAAATGACTGCTTCCTTCTCCTATTTTGTCTTTCGGAACACTTTACATAGGCTATTTATCCTCTCACTGTTATGGTAAGGGATTGTGGGTATTACCATGCATGGGGTTATGGTGAGAGAACAGTGACAGAGCATAAATGAGAAGAAATTAAAATAGGGAAAAGTTACAAGTAGGTGTCCCAAGGTCAGCATTGGATCCCTTGCTCACAATCTACATAAATGTCATCCCACAAGAGAGGTTTGTTGATGCCAGTGATGGGGTGAGGAAGAGAGGTTCATGATCTAAGAAACTGGACCTGTTTTTGTTTCTTCCTTGGCTCAAACATGAATATCTTCCATGTACACCATAAGAAACCTCACCTAGAAAAAAAGATTCATGGCACTGAATTTACACTCTCCAGGCATAAAATATGGGGGTTGGGGGACATATGATTGTAGTGTACAGGTGGATATTAATGAATTAAAGAAACAAAGTTTTGAACATACCTGATCAAGATAGGACTTAGAAATGGATTCAAGTCGGATAAATTTGTATTTAGAAAGGATATAGGAAAGCACTGGTTTGGAGTAAGTACTTTTGGTAGCTCTAAAAGTAGACTGGGCAGGTACAGAGTGGGATTTGTTGGTTGAGTTATTACCTGCCTAGCATGGGCCAGTAGGCCTAGTACAGTGAACATCTTGTTTTTTGTTCATTTCTTTTACTTGTATTGCAGCACCATAAAACTAAGTCTCAGTTAATTGCTTTCTGAAGTTTTTGATATTCGTCCTCTTCTTTTTTTTTAAAAAGTGGAAATATGCATTAATGCTTTACATGCTGTACACACCTTATATGTAGGCATCTCCTGTGCTTATATATTTGATTGAGTATATTCTTTCTTACACACATCTAATTATATTAATATTTTTACTTTTTAAGGGGCTGTCTGATGCGTTCATTTCGTCAAGTCTGCTTATCTTTAGACTTTGTTAAGATGTGTGGCTTGGAGACTAAGTTCCATGGACGAACCAGAACTGATGCATCTCACTATTGTGGTGTTTGTGAAATTGAGGTTAGTAATGAGATTGATACACTCTTGCATGTTATGTTGTGCAGCAAGACCTCATGTAGTGCAAGGGTTATGTTCCTGAAATTAGCACTGTGTAATGTGAATAATGTATGGGGTTTTAAAATTACTTAGGTTTGTGACACCCCAAAAAAACAAAAACAAAACAAAACAAAAAAAATTATATATTTCCTATTTTGTCAAAAATAATGTGAATTGAGTCGTTTCTAGTTTACTTATTGGTTTACGTATTGTTTCCTCCTCCCCATCCGTCTACACACTCGTAGGAAGTAGATTTACAAAAATGAACATATATGTAAAAATGCAATCAAAATTTGAATTCCACAGTGTACAGTTGAACATCTCCAGTCCAGCATCCATGGGGCAAACAGGTGCCAAACTAAAAGCATCTCAGGGCTACAGAATAAAGCCAAGAGATTGAATTAGCAGGACATAACTTTGTATTTGTGTATCTCAGTCTAGTCCTGAAAATGAAGCCCAGCTATAAAATCTTCTTAATAAACGTAACATGCATAGTACTCATCTCTGTCCCTCTCTCTCCCTTCTCTTCTCTTTGCCTGCATCAACGAAAAACGAAACACGCCATGCAGATTGCTAGCGAGCAATGTGCAGTGTGTTGTCAGCTAGCAAGGTATGTAAGAGTCCTGCATACACACATGATCATGTGAATGCACCCTCTTTCCCTCTCCTACCCTCTTTCTCTCATTTTGCCTTTCTTCTATTATATCGACAACACATGGCAGGCAGGGTATAATCAAGAGTACTAGTTGTCTGTTATCAAGGTATGTACAGTTCCTGCACATTTTTTGAGCATACTGCTCATGCACTCCCTTCTGTCCTCTCCTCATCAGTTGAAGTTGAGGAAGCAGATTTATCATTTCATTCAGAATAGGAGCTGGTGTTTAGATGGTTGGGAGGAATCATGAAAACTGCAGAGGCATGGAATCATTACATAGAATTGATGTTGTGGGTACAGTACCATTTTCATTGTCATACCTGACACCTATTATCTCCAATTCTTCAGTTATCAGATGGGATTACATTTTAGATAAAAATAATGCATTTTCTCATTGAGCAAGCATTAATGAATGCAGAATGCTGCCTTTTCTGAAATATACTTTAACTGCAAAATGTTGAAGTGGTTATCTTCACCTTGGTGTTGCATTGTAGGCATTACTGATGTATGGATTGGTGGACTGGAGATATTTGACTGGATTGAGGAGTTTTATTTTTATTATGACTTTGTAGCAGTTCTTCAGCTGGATGATTTGCTTGACATTGTACTGTATTAGCTATATTGATATATGAAAGGAAATGGACACTTTTATTGAATATGTTTTGGCCCTTGAACCTCGAGTGCCTCAAATTGTCAGCAATAATTTTTCCCCTTACTACATACTTTTTATGGATTTATCTTTAATTTTAATGAAATTCCCCCAATTTTTACTGTTTCATTTCAAAGTATTTATGAAAAAATCCATTTATGCTTTCCTTTACTTTTTAGGTATTTAATGTGCTGTTTGTCAAGGAACAAGAAAGACGGCATGTTGTGCATTGCATTGACTGTGCCCGACGCCAGGCTCCACGACTTGAAGGTTTTGTTGTTTTAGAGGAATACCACTTGAATGACCTTTGTCAGGTTTATGACAACTTCATATTACACTCGGTAAGTAGAATGGTGAACACTACTTTTTTTGTTTTGTTACCAATAAATTTTTAAAATTAGCAAGACAAGTGATTTGAGCTTTTTCTGGCATCTTCTCCCAGAGTAGATTGAATAACGGTACGTATATTAAAGTGTGTTAAGCATAATTTTGCCTTTTGAATGAGGATACTGTTTTTTCTTTTTAGGATCATTAGATACCTTCCCTAACTTTAACACACCACCAGTCATAATTTCATTACCTCCCATAACTTTTCCTGCTTTTAACTTAATTTTAGGCTGCTGTTGCCTTTACTTTTAATAATAATTATTGGCATGAAATTTTTCTCTGATTCCCATTCTTATAAAAGTTATTTCACGTCACTGTGTACATTTTCCAGTATCTTATATTCTCACTCATACTACTACCTTTATACTTCTAATATCTATAAATTCTTTTTTTTTATTACGTCGACTGTCTCCCACAGAGGCAGGGTGACCCAGAAAAGAAACACCATTATTCACACATAATTGCTGTATTTGCAGAGGTGCTCAGATACAACAGTTTAGATGTCACTCCAAACAGCCAGTATCCCAAACCCCTCCTTCAAGGTGCAGGCATTGTACTTCCCACATCCAGGACTCAAGTCTGGCTGATCGGTTTCCCTGAATCCGTTCACAAAATATTACCCAGCTCATCAGGTCCCAAAAACCATTCATCTCCAATCTAATGCACTCAAATGTGCCTGCTGCATTGGGTAGAATGAAAGGGAGTAAAGCAGCTGGAACTGATGGGATCATAGAAATGTTAAAAGCAGATGGGGATATAGTTTTGGAGTGGTTAGTACTTTTGTTCAGTAAATGTATGAAAGAGGGAAAGGTACCTAGTGATTGGCAGAGAGTGTGTATAGTTTTTTGTAGGAAAAGGAGACAAAAGAAAATATGTATAGTTCCTTTATATAAAGGGAAGGGGGACAAAAGAGATAGTAAAAATTATAGCGGAATAAGTTTGCTGAGTATACAGTGGTACCCCGAGTTTCGGCCACCTCCCAACTCAAACAGTCATGTAAGTGTATTATTATTGTATTATTTGTAAGTGTATTTTTCGGGGTCTGAAATGGACTAATCTAATTTACATTATTCCTTATGGTAACAAATTCGTTGGGTAAGGGCACTCAAACAGCCTTCTGGAACGAATTATGGCCGAAACTCAGGGTTCCACTGTACCAGGTAAAGTGTACAATAAGGTTATTATTGAAATAATTAGAGGTAAGACAAAGAGCAGGATTGCAGATGAGCAAGTAGGAGATGTATAGATCAAGTGTTTACATTGAAACATATATGTGAACAGTATTTAGATAAAGGTATGGAAGTTTTCTATGGATTTAGAAAAGGCATATGATGGAGTGGATAGGGGAGCAATGTGGCAGATGTTGCAAATGTATGGAATAGGTAGTAAGTTACTAAATGCTGTAAAGAGTTTTCATGAGGATAGTGAGGCTCAGGTTAGGGTGTGTAGGAGAGATGATTACTTCCCGGTAAAAGTAGGTCTTAGAGAGGGATGTGTAATGTCACCATGGTTGTTTAATATATTTATAAATGGGGTTGCAAAAGAAGTAAATGCTAGGGTGTTGGGGAGAGGGGTGGGATTAAATTATGGGGAATCAAATACAAAATGGGGATTGACACAGTTACTTTTTGCTGATGATACTGTGCTTTTGGGAGATTCTAAATTGAAGTTACAAAGGTTAGTGGATGAGTTTGGGAGGGTGTGTAAAGGTAGTAAGTTAAAAGTGAATATAGATAAGAGTAAGGTGATGAGGGTATCAAATGATTTAGATGAAAAATTGGATATCACATTGGAGAGAGGGAGTATGGAAGAAGTGAATGTTTTCAGATATTTGGGAGTTGACTTGTCAGCAGATGGGTTTATGAAAGATGAAGTTAACCATAGAATTGATGAAGGAAAAAAGGTGAGTGGTGCATTGAGGTATCAATGGAGACGTTATCCATGGAGGCAAAGAAGGGAATGTACGAAAGTATAGTGGTACCAACACTCTTATATGGGTGTGAAGCTTGGGTTGTAAATGCTGCAGCGAGGAGGTGGCTGGAGGCAGTGGAGATGTCCTGTCTAAGGGCAATGTGTGGTGTAAATATTATGCAAAGAATTCATAGTGTGGAAATTAGGAGGTATGGAGTTACTAAAAGTATTTGTCAGAGGGCTGAAGAGAGGTTGTTGAGGTGGTTTGACCATTTAGAGAGTTTGGAACAAAGTAGAATGATTTGGAGAACGTATAAATCTGTACAGTGCCTGCACTCTGAAGGAGGGGTGTTAATGTTGCAGTTTAAAAACTGTAGTGTAAAGCACCCTTCTGGCAAGACAGTGATGGAGTGAATGATGGTGAAAGTTTTTCTTTTTCGGGCCACCCTGCCTTGGTGGGAATCGGCCAGTGTGATAATAAAAATAAAAAAAATAAATCTGTATGGGAAGGAAGGCAGGGTAAAGGTCATCCTTGAAAAGGTTGGAGGAAGGGGATAAAGGAGGTTTTGTGGGTTAGGTGCTTGGATTTCCAGCAAGCGTGCATGAGCATGTTAGATAGGAGTGAATGGAGACGGATAGTTTTTGGGACCTGACAAGCTGTTGGAGTGTGAGCAGGGTAATATTTTATGAAGGGATTCAGGGAAACCGATTAGCCAGACTTGAGTCCTGGAAATGGGAAGTACAATGCCTGCACTTTAAAGGAGGGTTTGGGATATAGGCAGTTTGGAGTGACTATCTAAACTGTCGTATCTGGGCGTCTCTGCAAAGACAGTGATTATGTACGAAAGATGGTGAAAATGTTGACTGATAATGAAAGTTTTTTCATTCTTTTTGTATTTTTCTTTCTTTTGGGTCACCCTGCCCTGGTGGGAGATGGCTGATGTGTTAAAAAATTTTTTTTATTTATTTTGTAAAATTTAAGCTCTATATATTTTTTTATCATTCACTGTTTTCAATCAACTAGTATCCTTAATAGATTTCAAATGCTGAAATTCAGAAAACACACATGAAATTCATTTCAATGTATTCCTGCTAATTTAACTGTCATTAAAATATTTCCCTCTTGGATAAGTTTTCCTCAGCAGGCACATACAAATAACAAAATTGAAAGGATGAAAAAAAAAAAAAGTAGGCTGTTTATGGAAGAGGAAAGTAGATGGATAAAATAGAACTGACTACCAAGTGTGTCTGTAGTATAAGTGACTTATAAATAGAAAGAGGTTAGTGTTTCTGAGGTATAATGAAGTTGAGGCAAAGAAACATTAGATATAGGTAAGGAGAGGGAAAAAATAGCTCTTATTAAAGAGGAGAAAGTAGGGTAAAAAAGTAGATAAATTTTTTGAAAGTCTTTTTATAAAGTTTCTAGAAAAGTCATCAGTATCATATGAGTTGATGGGATCAGATGTATTTGAATATAAGGTGAAATTGTCTGAAGTAAAATTAGTGTTGTTTGATTAAAAACAGAAGTTCTAGGAATGGATGGAATAATGGCGATTGTAGAAGGTTAACCCTTTGAGGCTCCGTCCCGTAGTTATATGGCTTTGAAGACAGGGTCCAAGCCATAGTAATACGTTATGAGCTCGACTCGCTCAGATAAACCGTGAGCGGTAAATTTGGGCCTAGATATGAGAGAATGCATCTATGTGGTAAGTGTGCACCATATAAAACAAATCCTGTAGTGCATGAGAAAAAAATCTGACCGTATTTTTGGATTAAAACAGCGACTTTGTGGTGTATTTTTATATGGTTTTTATGGTTGTATTCACAGTTTCTTGGTTGCATTTGATAGAATGGAAGATATTTTACAGAAATAGAGATAATTTTGATTAGTTTTTGTACTTAAAATAGCTTGAAATTGAGTGCAAAGTAGCAGAAATGTTTGATTTTTGCTGATGGTCAAGAGTAAACAAATCACATCATGTGTCCAGTACACATCAGCTGGTGGATCTAATGTGCATTCACAAATGTGCTGATATGTAATATTGTAATAATTGTAAAATAATAACAGTAAATCTTCTATTTTTTATTTGAATAAAAATTCTTTGTGAATAAAATATCAAAATGGAATTCATGTGTATAGCCTGGAAATGTAACTAATGAACAGAGGAAATGTTATTTTAGTGCCAGGGATGCCTGCATTGTTTATTTTGGCCCCTATTTTGAAATTGGAATATTTTGATCTTTGTGTGAAATTGGTCAAATTACCAAGTTCTGATCACTTGACTGAGTAGTTGAAATACAGTGGAACCTCAAAAATCGAACTGCTCCCAACACAACCAATTATATAAGTGTATTTTTGAGGGTCTGAAATGGACTAATCTAATTTACATTATTCCTGATGGGAATAAATTCATTCGGTAAAGGCACTCGAGCAGCCTTCTGGACCGAAGAAAGTTCGATATTTGAGGTTCCACTGAGCAATTTCTTATTCTCAGTAGATAAAATGGAACACACTAGTAAAATAGCTTAAGAATTTGGTGTAATGGAACAATGTAATTAGCCGAAAATAAAACCCAAAGCGGGCAAAAATCGCCGATGCATAAATATCGCTGACGGCAAAATTCGCAAGAGAGCAATTTTGTCAGTTTTTGATCAAATTTCGTACTTTTTGTTTTATTACCCCCAGAAAAAGATTCTCTACCATTTCATAGTTTTTTTTTTTTTTTTTTTAAATTCTTGGACCCTTTGGGGAATTTTCAGATTGGGGGCCTGGACCCTCAAAGGGTTTATGTACACATGGGTCTGTGAATGTACAGTTGAACCCCCATATCCACTGATTCGGTATCCGCGGTTTCAGTTATCCATGGTTTACTGTGGCTCAAAAATACCTCTTAATTTTGCATAATAATGGTCCCAGAGAACAAAAGTATTAAAGCTGGCAGTTCTTAAAAACCTAAGAGAAGCTGTGAAGTGCTTCCCATTGGTGAAAAAGTGATAATTTTCTACTTGTTGTGCATAATTTATCATTTAAACTTTAAAATAGGCATGTATAGGACTTATATATAGGGTTTGCTACTATCTGCCATTTCGGTATCCACGGCAGGTCCTTGGAACATATACCCCACGGATATGGGGGTCCTGCTGTATTCATAAAACTGGTGTGCTTTTGGAATATTGAGAAAGTGCTCAATGCTTGAGCAAGAATAATTAGAATGAAAACAGAAATGAAAATATGGTGTGAGGAAGTACATACTGTATATACTGCTATATTTCAAGTTCAGCTTGGGTTGCACACATGCATCCAAAATATAGATAAAAATTGGCATGTTTGCCACAAGAACTAAGAACAGGTACAGCATTACCCTGTAACTATGTGCAACATTCTTAAATACAAGACACCAAACTATGTGCTGTGTATTCATGTGCTTAACCCTTTCAGTGTCGGTCCTGTAGTACTACGCCATGAGCTCATCTCACTGAGATTAGCTGTGAGTGGTAAATTTGGGCCTAGATATGAGAGAATGGGTCTATGCTGTAAGTGTGCACCATATGAGAAAAAACTGCGACCGTGTTTTTGTTTTAAAACTGAGTTTGCTGTGTATTTTCATAGTTATGGTATTCTCTGTTTCTTTGTCTAATTTGATAGAATGGAAGATATATTACAGAAATAGAGATGATTTTAATTTCAGGACTGAAAGCTTGAAATTGAGCCCAAAGTATTGGAAGTACATGTATTTGATTTTTACTGATATTCCAGAGTACACTAATGACGTCATGTGTCCAATATGTGTCTAACTGGCCAGTCTAATACACATTTAGGAATGCACTGACATAATTATATAGATAATTACAATAATGCAGTAGTCTGCACAACAGTAAATCTTCTATTTTTTGTGTGAATAAAAATTCAAAATGGAAAGCAAGCATAAGAGAGACCTGGAGATGTGACTAAAGAACAGAGGAAATTTTTTTTTTTTAGTGCCAGGAATGTCTACATTGTTTATTCTGGACCTTATTTTTAAATTGGTAATTTTTTAATTTTGTGAAATTGGCCAAATTACCGATTTCTGATCACTTTATTTGGCAGTCAGAATAGGTAAATGGGCAGTTTCTTTTACTCATTTGATGTAATAGATGGAATACTAGCAAAATATCTATGAATTTGGTCAACTGGAACAATGGAATTGGCCAAAAAGAGGGTGCAAAGTGGGCAGAATTACTGATGCACAAATATCGCTGAGACCACTAACTTTGCGAGAGCGTAAATCCATAAGTTTTCCATCAAATTTCACACTATTTTGGTTTTGTATTATTATTATTATAATCAAAAAGAAGCGCTAAGCCACAAGGGCTATACAGCACTTTTGGTTTTGTAACCTTTGCAAAAGGATTCTCTAAAATAATTTTTTTTTTAAATTCTTCAACCCCGAGAGCAAGTTTGAGATCAGGAGTCTCGACCCTGAAAGGGTTAATTGTGCCCTCAAATTAGCACTTAGCTTGATTATAACAATAATAATTGACTTAATCTATTTTAATGTAAAAATTTTCTATTCCACAATTACAGTGATGTGCTAATTTCAGGTTCAGGGACAGACGTTACCAGGCCAAGCCCCAACACCACCCCCTACCTCCTCAACTCCAACACCCATCACGTGACCTAACCCAGTCCTAGTGGCCACCTCGTTGTGTTCATTGTGACATGGGGTGGCTCCTAGCCAGACAGTTCTTATCTCTTGTGAAGAATAAGGTGACTGTCCCTGCTTTTATACACAGGTGTAAAACCACAAGAGACAGCAAGTGTTAGTGAGCAGCAGTGTTACTGTGGAAAGATATGATTATTTGCTGCAAGTAGCATTAAGTTATAAATAAGAATTTACGTCACTGCCAGTGCACCTTCCAGAGGCCTTTTCTATTATTGACTCATTGTAGTCACGGTGGCCGTATTTTTCACACCCAAATTCTTGGAAGCTATTGCAGTGAAAAAATGGGCATTACAAGAAAAATGCTGCCGAGACATGAATGAATGGAGAGTGTTTTAGTTGTGTGTGTGTTGTAAAGGAGCACCTAGAAATGCTGCTTCAAGTTCTACCACTCTCCAAGGCATATTGATATGATCTCATAGAACTCAAGGACACAGGGAAAAAGCAACACTAACGTTTGGAGAGTAATAATGGGCATGTTTGTGTGTGTGTGAAGTCATTCATTGTGATGGACTTGCAATTGTGCCAGAACTAGAGCTATTGCAGGACCCACCATGTAAGTTTCTCATGGTAATAATAGTGGTTGCCAAGAAGGTTAACAGCCAGTGCTGAATTAGCTGTAGTCGGGGTAGTAGAAATTGCGTGTGGTTGATGGTATGGTACTACCCAGTCTTAATTTATTAGCCTTGCCTACGCATTATGTTCTCCTTCCAAGTTACCAGCCAAAGGGACTGGCCTTAGTTGTAGTTAAGAGTGTGTGCATTAAAAGGTTTCAAATCACTGCCACAAGAAGTGAGTGTTTTTATCTTGTGATAATCTTGACTGCCACAAAATCTACCACTTTGCAGTCTCACTTAGAGCTTACCTGATCTAAACTCTTTCCACATGCATTGTTCTGGATGTTCTGTGATCAGCAGTTGTTTTGTACAGATACATATATTTTTATTGAATTATTTGGTTATGTTGAATAACTATTATAAGCAACCGAGGTCCTCAACTCGGCATGTCCGTCCATCCCAGTGCATCTGGAAGGAATGACAGGGATGCAAGGACAAATTTCCATAATTTTCATCCTATTATTTTAGTAAGGTTGTCTCTTTTCCCACCCTTACAGTATTTTACAAATTGATCCATATTTGTGGTCCAGAATCACTAATCCCACATTTTGGGATTTTATGAATGAATGTGCAACTCTAAAAATGTTGGGCAGTATGATATTTTTATAGTTATTTTACTTCTATAGTTGCTGTTTGTTAATTTTTTATTGTTGATCCTTTTTTTTTGTTATCAGTTCTAAAGTAACATTTTAGTTTGAGAATTGCTGTGCATTTTAAAATGTATTTGTTTCCAATTAAAGCTCATGTCAGGTGAAAATGGTGAGCAGTAGGACTTCAGACAATATTTTTGGAAATTCTGGAGGAACATAAGGTATGGCAAACTAAGTGCTCAACAAATTGTACCTGAAATGGGCGTGCCTAAGGAAATAAGTTCCACTAAAATTTTTTTTTTTTTTTTTTTTTGTCAAATGCTGTTGACCGCAAGTCCTTACGATGCCCTCGCATTGTGGAAGGCTGAACAAATGTGAGCTCTGAGCTGAGAACTCTTAAATAATATCCATACCAGAAGGCTGTGCACCAAGGGCTGAATACTTAAACTTCACTTGAGAATTAGCAAGCAAAGTAAATTAAGTTAGTATTGATTGTATAGCACGTGTAGAAATGACCGAACAGACTACACAGTACAAGGCAGCTTGCTATTTATCAAGTGTTGGATAAGGGTTTAGTTCACAACTTCCTCTCCACTCCTCCCTATTGATTCACCCAAACCTCTTTATATCATGTATAGTTTTTCATGTGACACATTCTAGTTTGTCCTCAGTATTACACATGGAACATATTCATGCTTTTATAACGAATTCATCTGTCCTTTGTAAGAAAAGAATATATTAAAAAAAAAAAAAAAAGGTCAGTCACACAAAACATTCAGCCATGCAGTAGTAAATAGTTTATGAACTGTATGTTGCTGTAATAAAGGCTTTTTTTTTTTTTTTTTTTCATTAGCAGTTTTGTAAATCCAGCACTGTATTGCCTACAGTTAAGGTTTATTTATGTTATTTAAAGTGTATGGAGTTCTATCTGTATGTATTGTATAAAACACCTAAAGTCTATTCTTTCTCATTGTGTAAGTAAAGTGTTGTCCTGCTCACTTACTAGACAAGCTCGTATACATTTGTACAATTTTGGGAGTAGGGATTTTTGGCAAAACAGTGGATGTAGTTAATGAGGTGTGGGTGGAGTGGAAATTAATATTTTAAGCAATTAATAGGTAGGAGCAGCATAATACATCTACAAACACGTGTTGTGCATTATGCTCCTTAGCATCGTAAACCATATCATTCATTTCTCTATTAATTCTCATATGTCACAATTAAATAAATTATTAGTGATGCAAGCTAATTGGATGAAAAAAAAAAAAAAAAAAAAAGAGCTTCTCCGCTCACACCTGTTTCAGGGATCTGTGTTGACCTTGTGTCCAATACTGTACAGAGTAAGTCTGCTAATAAAGCCTAACTCACTGGAATACCAAAGTATTTACATTTTCATTATATTTAGTCACTTTGAAATCTAGCCATATCTGGCTAGGTTTGATTCAAGGCAGGGGGAGGCTTAGTCCACTTCTTTAGATTTAGAACCTCATCTCCTTTCAGGGGCATCCTGTATATAAAAATGTCATTCACAAGAAGTAAACAATGGGAAATCACTGCAGCACTACTGACTTGACACACTCCCATTTATTAAGGACACCTGTATTATTACAAAGTGCTAAACTGGCAAGGGTCATACAGGGCTGTGGGGCAGAAAAATTGTGCTGGGGCTATAAACAGCTAGGTGGAGAGGGGATCATTGGTGGAAGGGACACTAAGGGCTATGTGTCAAAGTTTGTATAGTAAAGCAGTTTCTGACAAAAAGTGTAAGTCAAAGGCAGGGCTGTCTGCAAGAAGGAAAGATAAGGTAAGAGTGGTAGGGCATTGGGGGGTAAATCCTATGAGCTCGCTGGTAAACCAGGCAATCTACAAAAAAGTGAAGAACCAATTATTGTTATAATCAAGGAAAGCACTAAACCGACAAGGGTCATACAGCTGTGAAGAACTGAAATAGGGACCCAACAAACCTCACAGAGGAATAGGGTGTCAGTCCATGACACCATGACTGGAAAATAATCTCTGAACGGAATACTTCTATAGGAAACTGGAAGATCATGTACTACTGACTGCGCAGCAGCATCCACTTGTTCATTGCCCTGCACTTCAATGTGTCCAGGACCCAACAAAACAGTCTTTGTTTTTGCTAGCCACATGGCCCAACCATAGTTGAATATGAAGAACTAATGGATGAGGGGAATCAAATTGTTTAATGGCTTGTAAGGCACTGAGGGAATCTGATATGATCACAAACATCGAGGAGACATACAGTGGATCCTGGGTTTTCGTAATAAATCTGTTCCAGAGAGTCTGCCGAAAACCAAAACCATTTTCCCCATAAGAAATAATGTAAATCCAATTAATCCATTCCAGACACCCAAAAGTATTAACAAAAAATTATTTTTTTTAGAGATTAAATATAGATTTACTTACAGAAAAGAATGATAAATAAATATAAAGCACTAATAAAATGTATAAATGAACATATAATATCACACTTACCTTTATTGAAGACTCTTGTTGGTGTATGGAAGACAGGGAGAGGAGGCGAGTTCATTGTTTGGAGACAAAATGCTTGAATATGATGCTAATATCAACTCTACAGCTTATTTATCTATCACAATTCATCTAATATGACATGAGCAATATTAATAACATAGAAACATGATATATACAGTGGTACCCTGAGTTTCGGCCACCTCCAGCGATCTGCGCCCCATGAACGTTGCGCAAGAATTTTCAGGAGATTCAGCCGACCATGGCAAACAGCCTTCAAAGAGGAAATGTGCAGTTTCCATGTCAACCAGCGATCAAAGAGAAGGCCAAGAAACTTGACCGTATCACATTCTGGAATAGGTCTGGGGTGGGGGCACTGGTAACTGCAGTGAAGGGAGCTATTAGGGCTTTAAACTAGGAATAGTGGTATGGGTTTTGGTGGGAATATAGTGAAGTCCCAGTGTAGTAATATTATAAGTTCTAGGTGAACTAGTAATAGGCAGAATGAGGTGGATATTGGAAAGCCAGTGGCACTAGGTGACAAGGACAGTAATAGGTTTAGTGGAAAAACAGAAATGAGCAGGAAGGGTAAAGAGAAAGTAGGATCTTTAAAAATATATTATGCTAATAGCCGTAGTGCTAGGAATAAGATGGACGAGTTGAGATTAGTTGGTAGTGGGAATATAGTGAAGTCCCAGTGTAGTAATATTATAAGTTCTAGGTGAACTAGTAATAGGCAGAATGAGGTGGATATTGGAAAGCCAGTGGCACTAGGTGACAAGGACAGTAATAGGTTTAGTGGAAAAACAGAAATGAGCAGGAAGGGTAAAGAGAAAGTAGGATCTTTAAAAATATATTATGCTAATAGCCGTAGTGCTAGGAATAAGATGGACGAGTTGAGATTAGTTGCTAGTGCAGGTAACATTGATGTATTTGCCATCACTGAGACATGGTTTAATTCCAAAGTTGGGACATGCCTGTGGAATGTCACATTCAAGGTTTTAAATTGTTTAAAGTAGATAGAAGTATCGGTAAGGGGGGTGGGGTGGCACTGTATGTCCAAGATCGCTTGAACTGTTGCATAAAAATGGGTATTGAGTCTGAAGTAATACATACAGAGTCTGTCTGGGTAGAATTTTCAAGAGGGGCATGAAAAATTGATTCTAGGAGTGATATATCGTCCCCCAAACTTAGACAGGGACCAAGAGAGACTACTATGGGAGGAAATTGTTAAGGCCACAAGGCACAATAATGTAGTAATTCTAGGGGACTTTAACTTTAGTCAGACTGATTGGAATTTCTTGATGGGAATTTAGAATCAAATTTCTTAGAAATAGTTCAGGATTGTTTTTTGAAGCAGTTTGTGATAGAACCTACAAGGGTAAATAACCTGCTTGTTAATAATTTAGAAATTATAGAGGAACTCGGCACAAGCGATCGCAAATCAATTACCTTTAGCAATGAATGGAAGTATGATAGTAGGGATAATTCAGTAATGGTCCCAGATTTTTGCTTAGCAGATTATAATGGGCTTAGAGAACACTTATCATCTGTTGACTGGGGTAACAAAGAGAGCCATCAATATGACAACTTTCTGAACACTATACATGCTGCCCAAAGAACATTTATCCCGTATAAAGAAATTAGATCGAATAAAAATGACCCGAAATGGATGAATAATAGGCTCAAATATTTTTTAGGGCAGAAGAAAGGAATTTATAGGCACATTAAGAGATGAGGGTCATCTTACGAATCAGTACATTGACATTAAGAGGGACGTTAAAAAGGGGGTAAGAAAAGCTAAACGGGAGTACGAAGTTGCTAGGGATTCGAAAACTAACCCCAAAAGTTTTTTCCAGGTGTATAGAACAAAAGTTAAGAGATAAGATAGGCCCCCTTAAAAATAACTAGGGGCATCTTACTGACATAGAGAATGAAATGTGCTCGATTTTAAATATTTATTTTCTCTCAGTTTTTACATAGGAAGACACTAACAATATCCAAGTAATTAATTTTTATAGTGGGCCTGAAGAAGATAAATTATGTAACATCACAGTCACTAGTGAAATAAGAACATAAGAACGAAGGAACACTGCAGAAGGCCTACTGGCCCATGCGAGGCAGGTCCAAGTCTCCTACCGGCTTAAGCCAATGCACCCAACCTAGTCAGGTCAGGTCACATTGACTTAAGGGAGGAACACGGCAACCGACCTGGTAGCACAAGCTATCAGGTCTAACTCACACCCACCCACATCTACTCATGTATTTATCCAACCTATTTTTAAAGCTACACAACGTTCTGGCCTCTATAACGGTACTTGGGAGTTTGTTCCACTCATCCACAACTCTATTACCAAACCAGTACTTTCCTATATCCTTCCTGAATCTGAATTTTTCCAACTTAAAACCATTGCTGCGAGTCCTGTCTAGGCTAGATATTTTCAGCACACTATTTACATCCCCTTTATTTATTCCTGTCTTCCATTTATACACCTCAATCATATCCCCCCTAATTCTACGTCTTTCTGGAGAGTGCAGATTCAGGGCCCTTAGTCTATCCTCATAGGGAAGGTTTCTGATACATGGGATCAACTTTGTCATCCTCCTTTGTACATTTTCCAGAGAATTTATATCCATTCTGTAATACGGTGACCAAAACTGTGCAGCATAATCTAAATGAGGCCTAACCAAGGATGTACATATAGAGTTGAAGAACAACCTGAGGACTCCTATTATTTATGCTTCTTGATATAAAGCCAAGGATTCTATTAGCTTTATTGCGAACACTTATGCACTGTTGTCTTGGTTTCAGATTACTGCTAACCAGAACTCCTAAATCTTTTTCGCAATCCGTAATATTAAGATCTACATTATTTAGTTTATATGTGGCATGGTTATTGTCCTGTCCAACATTTAGAACTTTGCATTTGTCTATATTAAACTGCATCTGCCACTTCTCCGACCACTGCATCAGTCTATTCAAATCTTCCTGGAGTGCTCGAATGTCCTCGGCAGAATGAATTCGACGGCCTATTTTGGTGTCATCGGCAAACTTGCCGATGTCGTTCTTTATGCCCTCATCTATGTCGTTTATGTAGATTGTGAACAGCAGGGGCCCAACACTGACCCCTGTGGAACACCGCTCGTGACGCTTCCCCACTGATTTCTCCCCATTTATGCAAACTCTCTGCTGCCTATTTGTCAACCATGCCTCTATCCAGGAAAAAATTTCTCCTCCTATTCCATGTGCTTTAATTTTCCTCAATAGTCTCTGATGTGGGACCCTGTCAAAAGCCTTACTGAAGTCCATATACACAATATCATATTCATTACCATGATCTACCTCCTCAAATACCTTAGTGAAAAAAGTTAATAAATTCGTAAGGCAGGAATGCCCCTTTGTAAAACCATGCTGAGATTCGTTGATTAATTTATGCTTTTCAAGGTGGCTACGAACTGCCTCGGCAATTATTGATTCCATAAATTTTCCCACTATGGAGGTTAGGCTTATTGGTCTATAGTTCGAAGCTAAGGACCTGTCACCTGTTTTGAAAATAGGTATCACATTTGCCATTTTCCACTTGCACCATGCCAGTTTGTAGTGATATGTTGAAAAGATTAGCCAAAGTTGTGCTAAGCTCCTCTTTACATTCCTTTATAACCCTTGCATACAGTTCATCAGGGCCTGGGGATTTGTTAGGTTTTAATTTATCTATTTGCCTAAGGACCATGTCACTTGTGACCCTAATCGTGCACAGTTTATTATCGTCCTGTTCTACATAATTTATCATTACTGGAATATCGCTGGTATCCTCCCGTGTAAAAACTGAGAGGAAGTATGTGTTAAAAATTCTA